TATAATAAATATTCGAATATTTACGATTGACGCCGCCAAATTTCTTTTTTTTTTTGTTTTAAATTCTCACGTTGGCTGCGCTGGTATAAATTTTAGAAAATGGAGGAAAAAGTAAAAGTTGTTGTCAAATGGAGTGGTAGAGAATTTGAAATATCTAATTTATCACCCAATGATACCGTTGAAAAATTAAAAGATGCTATTTTTAGAGAGACTGGTGTACGTCCTCATAGGCAAAAACTTCTTAATCTTAAATATCGAGGTAAATTAATAATAATAATAATTGAATAAATATACGAGAAACGTACTTTATCAAAATGTTATCAATATCTAACTTGAAAATTTTATTATGAATTTATCCATTAATAAAATTTATCTAGTAATAGTTTTAACTTCAAATACTAACACGAATAAAATATTTTGGTTAACTTATAGTGGTTAACTTATTGTCAAAATATTAATATATAATAGTATATTATTATATATACTATAACCTAACATTATATATTTTATAATTATACCCCCATATTAAATAACTTAATGTCGAGGAAACTTCGAATTCATATTTCGAGTATGCAAAAAATTCAATAAAGTTAAAAAGAATAAAAATAATAATTACAACTTACCATATTGTAGCTAAACCTGCTGAAGATTCGTGTAAAATGTCTGCATTGAATTTGAAACCCGGATTTAAAATAATGATGATGGGTTCACTCGAAGACGACATAACTCAAGTCAATACGATTCCACAGGGAATACCAGATGTTGTCAACGATTTAGACATTGAAGATGCTGAGGTTGCTATAGAAAATATGGAGGTAAGAAAATTATTAAATTTTCAGAGGAAATTTCCACATTTTTCTAGAATAATCCTATAACATTCCGTTTGAATAATGATAAATTTTTTTCACGAAAATTTTTTCTTCAATTCGTTTATTAATTTTAAATCCATATCATTATTATTATTATTATTATTATTTTATTTTGCATTTAGACCAAAAAAATTATTGATATGAAAATACAAATGCACTAATGTTATATATATATATGCTTTCAATTTTATTTTTTTTTTTTTAGTTTAGTAAAATTTTCTGCAAAATTTAGTAAAAAGTAAGTAATTTATAAAAAACGTTAACTGAAATATTTGATACATGGTTTAGTAAAAAACCGGGGGGAGGGGAGGGGAGGGAAATTGTGATGGCATTATTATATTATTATTATTATCATCGAAAGAAAAAAACTCGATGTGAAACTTTTGTTAACAAAATTATGTTATAATACACAATTCGTTATTAAAATAATTATTTTATTCGAAATCCTAACTTTCCTTTTGATTTAGGTACATCTTTCTAAAATAGAAAAAAGAATAAAAGAATATGAAATTACAGAAAGAAGTGAACCGAGAGAAGGGAAAAACTTATTGGTTCTAGATATTGATTATACATTATTCGATCATAGATCTGTGGCTGAAAGTGGAGCTGAATTAATGAGACCTTATTTACATGAATTTTTAACTTCTGCCTACGAAGTGAGTATGTTTGTATAAAACCTTCGATGATGACGACATTTTTCCATCGGTCGATTTTATTTATTTCAGGATTACGATATAGTTATTTGGTCTGCGACAAGTATGAAATGGATCGAAGAAAAAATGAAATTGTTAGGAGTGTCGACTCATACGGATTATAAAATATTATTTTATCTCGATAATTTGGCAATGATATCCGTTCACACTCCCAAATACGGAGTCATAAACGTTAGTCATAAACGCTCTTTTAAATATGATATTTAACTAATTAATCATTATTATTAATTTAACGGAAAAAACAAATTACAGGTGAAACCGTTAGGATTGATATGGGGTAAATATCCGCAGTACTCGACGAAAAATACAATAATGTTCGACGATATAAGAAGAAATTTCATAATGAATCCAAACAACGGTTTAAGAATCAAAGCATTTAGACAAGCACATTTAAATCGTCAAACGGATACGGAACTCCTTAAATTATCCCAATATTTAAAAGATATTAGCATGTGCGAAGATTTTTCCGTACTCGATCACAGGCATTGGGAAAAATATTCGAAAAAAAAAAGAGAAGGAAAAATATGAAAAAAAAAAAAAAAATATGGATAGATGCAAATGTTGTGATGATAAAAGTTTTCCAAAAAAAATTATTATTATTATTATTATTATTATTATTATTATTACACGCAGTTGCGTGGAGTTTACAAAAAAGACGTGAAATAAAACGACGCAGACCAGAAGAAAAAAATTGAAAAATTAATTTGCTTGTTAATAATGTAGCAAAAATAAAAGGAATTTTTTTTTTTTTTTGTTAAGTATATTGTTTACGTATAGAATTCTATTCCTAACCGATTGTTTTGCTGCATTAACGAAAAAATAAATTCGAAAACGAATTTGTGGAAAATTCGCACACGCACACACACACACACACACACGATGTATAAAATTATAAATTTAACACCAATAAATAATTAAGAATTATTTTTGATTTTTTTTTTTGAAATTTATGAACAATTTCCTTTAAGGTAAACAACAATACTCGCAAGTATGAAGTAATCAAACAAATTTTTTTAAAAGGAAAAATAATTTAACTTTGGGGGGAGGGGGGGGGGAAATACACTCACGGCCATATTTATACGATCTCATTAATTTTTACCCGCAAAACAATTATTATTATTAATATCATCATATCATTTTTTTTTTTTTTAGACTTTTAAAGTATATAAATTATTACTTGAAGAATAAAACGATATGATGACGTCATATTATTATTATTTAACATGAAAAAACAAACGTTAGGTTGACGTGATAAGTAAATACTGACTTACATGAATTATCTGGTTAGGTGGGAAAACAAAACATTGCAGAATGTTGTTCCTGCTGCTCCTGCTCCTGCTGTTGCTGCTGCTGCTCCTGCTGTTGCTGCTGCTGCTTCGAATCCTGAAAAAATTAGGAAAAAAAATAAAATAAATATTTATTATAATATAATTCTAGGCAAAAAAAATTTGTTTCGAAAAATCCAAAAATATCAATATTAAGAAAACGTTTAATATAATCAAGGCCTCGAGGAGCATTTATTATTCCATTTAAAAAAAATTTTTCAACTAAATATAAAATTACATTTCGAGGTTAAAAATTATTATTATTATTATTATAAATAAGTTAAAGAGGATTTTACCATTTGATGGTGGTACGATAGCCTAAATATTATTATTATTATTATTGACCAATTTTTAAAAAAATTATTTCTCAATAGTTGATTGCCATAAGAAAATATTAAAATAAATTTATTATTATTATGGTCACTCTTAAACACGACAAGGCTCTTATTTGTCGGGGTTTTTAAGTATTTATCCCAGGTTTCTACCCGATTCCTTAGGGACAAATACTCGAATATCGGTGGTGCTATTTATAATATTTTCCGAAGAATGTGGGCCGTCCCACATAATGCGATTTCCTGGATGGTTTCTTCTTTTAGGTTCTTCATAATTATTATTATTATTATTATTATTATTATTATTATTATAGTTTAAAAAAGGTATGAATTATCAAAATATTACCAACGTACATTAAAAAAAAAAAACAATAAAATATTAAATTAACTTTCACTCATATAAAAAATTAATCTTTGGTCGTTACAGGTGACACAAGTACTAATAAGTTAAAAATGATTTTATAAACTCATTTACAAAAATATTTTTTTGTTATAAATTATTTAGTTTTTTTTTAACGTAATAATAATAATAATATTAGCCTAATAGATATTAAATATAAAAATAAATTATCAAATAATTACCTAATGTTTTAAAAAAAAATTTGTCAGGTTATGAAATGACGAATTATGAAAAGTTGACATAATAATTTTGAG